TATTTAATCAACGAGGAACCTCTCTTCCAACAGTACAATTATTAATTATTTTTAATAAATTCGAGAAACCTCTTTTCAATTCAGTTCGGTTTAAGTCAGTACATCCGAAGTTTTCCTAAAAATAAATATAAATTCATAAAACGGTGTTCAAATAAAATCGAGCTCCATCGCTGTTCAACCCAAGCATTGAGGTTGACAATCGACTTAATAAACTCCAGAAAGCAATCCACGTTTAACATCTTCATCAACGTCGAGTTAGCTGCGCCAACAACTTCAAGGTCAACTCATAGTTCATCGATCAATTCTAACCGTAACGACCCAATAGGGACGCGCTCAGTAACAACATCTTGTGTGTATCAGTTACTAATAAAACATCTATTAATACATTTAAATCGTAAGTAAATTATTAATTTCTTTTAATAAATATTTCATTTCTCCTCTTTTCCTTTTTCCAACCGGTTCTGATGGTCATCCTTGTAGAGTTAATTAAATATTAAGTTTCTGAATCAAAGAGATCTGTCAATAAGTGTGACTGCCACTCCCAGGGTAAAGGCATTTAGTTGTCTGACCGTACAAACAAGCAGTCGAAGAAATTTGTGGCGTCCCAGGACGTAACACAAATAAAATTTTTGGTGTCAGAAGTGTGATTTGATAGAAAATAATGCCCGAGGCGATCTCTTTGGTATGGATACTCCATCTCCTGGTAGAGGAATATTAAACCCTAAAGTTATTATAATCCCTCCACCTGTAGGCAGTTCAATTTTTCGCACTCCAATATTACCTCAGACTCGACCTCCAGAAAGCCCGATAGATAAAACCGTGGTTAAAGATTTGAGCTCCGATTTAATAGACCTAGACAACGAAAAATTTGAAGATTTGGAAAACCCAGAACACGAAAATCAAACTCAAATAAATCCAGAACGCGAAAATCAAATTCAAATAATTCCAACAGTTTTTAATCAACACCGCGAAATGAACGGTCAAAACGGTCGACAAAATAATGACCAACGGATCCCACAAGATCCAGCAAATCCAAATCCACCAGTTCCACCAATTCTACCTAACGAAGACGGTCGATTCGTGCATCCACCCGAACAAGTCGCCGACGTGAGACGACCATATGCCGTTCCAGTATCAATTAAATATGCTATTGAAGCAGTACCTATTTTTGACGGTCAAAATATTCCACTTTCTTATTTTATTGAAGGTTGTCGCGAAGCAAAAGCAATGATACCCCCCGAGGACGAGCTAAGTTTAGTTAGAATTTTACGAAATAAACTGCGCGGACAGGCCCGATGGACAATTCTTTCTACAAGATTCGATAATGTTGAACAATTTATAACTTTATTGAAAAATTTATATGCACCTTCTAAAACATACCTTCAGTTGTTAGGCGAACTAGGTAGAATTTTTCAAAAAGATGATGAAAACGCAGTTAATTATATAAATCGTGCTCGCGAATTAGGCAACAGAATTCTTGACGCCTATAAAGCGCAGGAAAATAGAGAGATGCCTCCTGCACTTACGAAGCATACGACATTGAAGTTAAAAATTCATTAATTCGAGGCTTAAAACCGGAAATTGAGCAGAGAATTTCTAGAGATAAAAACTTTATGGACACGACCCATGAAGCAATTCACATCGAAAGACAGTTAGAAGCAAAAAACGCGTTACGTGGAAAAATGCCTCATAAATATAATCGACCGACGGAAACGTATAGCTTTGACAGAAACCCACGAAATACTAGAGATATAAATGTAATTCAAGAACTACCATTAAAATGCGAATTTTGTCGCGAAAATGGACATTTGGCAACAAATTGCCCACAAAAAAATAATAATAATAGAAATTTAAACTCACGATACAATGATAAAATGTGTAGATATTGCAAAAATCCGGGTCATACTATTGAAGAATGCCAAAAAAGGCAATATAATAACAATATTAGATATCAGCGTCCAAATAATTCGGGAAATTTTCAACCTTTAAATCCTGCAATTTTTAATCGTCAACCGTATTATTTAAATGCATAAAATTCGTATAACCGTCTGAATCAACCAAATTATCAACGATATCCTAATTTTAATCAATCTAGACTTCAACAGAGTAATAATTATAATCGTTCAAATATTCAAAATCCAAATTACCGAAATTTTCAATCGCCCGATAATTATAATCGCGCAAATTTTCAAAATTCAAATTATCGAAATTCTCAATCTTCAAACAATTATAATCGTAATAATTATTCACGCGAAAATCCTCAATCAAATAATTTTAACCGAAATGATCCGAATAATTTTAGCAATTCGAATAATTTTAATAATCGAAATAGAGGACCGGTAAGATTCGCGGATGATCAGCAAGTACCAAACATCAATCGAAATCCTAGAAACACGTATCAGGGAAACTTCCTACCGCTCCCCCGAGCGGGCGTATCGAGGGAAGCCCAAAACGAACGCCCAATTTTGCATATACAAAACGCGGATACGGAATCGGAAATAATAGAAGAATCGGAAACGTTAGAAGAATTGTTTCAGTCGCCTCTATCGAATTAAAACAAAAATGTCAAGCTCCTACGGTAAGAATCGACACACCTAGTTTTAAAAATTCTGTAATAATTATGATTGACACCGGTTGTGAAATAAATTCAATTAAATTAGGTGCATTAAATTCAGAAGCGTGGATCGATAAAGACGAAGTAATAAAATTAAAAGGTATAACGACAGAGCATGTCACTACATTAGGAAAAGTCAATACTACATTTCACGGTGTCCCAGTAATATTCCATGTAGTATCGGACGACTTTCCCATAATAAGGGAAGGAATTTTAGGGTCGGACTTTTTAATTAATAATAATATAGATGTTTTATATTCTAAAAATTGTCTCATGTGGAAAGGTAAAAAAATTAACTTTGTACATGAAGAAACAATTACTATTCCGGCACGCACGAAGGCAGGAATGTATGTGCGTGTAGCTAATCCTGAAATAGATACAGGGTATGTCCCACGGTTATTCGTAAATGACGAGAAGAAGAAGAATAAAATTTTTATCAGCGAAGCATTAGTCAAAAATGAAAATGGTAAGGCGTATTTATACGTGATAAATTCCACCGATGTTATTGTAGATATTGCAATACCGGAAGTTTTTCTTGAACCTTATGAAATGAAATATGAATCGAAAAATCGTAGTAAATCTAATGAAAATTCAAATTCTACTAAATCATATGAAAATTCAAATTCGAATAAAAACAATAATTCGCGTAAAAGTATTCATCCTACTAGTTCTTATAAAAAAATCAATATCGACGACAATGATAATTTCATTAATTCGTGTAAAAATTCAATTCCTACTAGTTCATATGAAAATTATAATTCTACTAGTTCCACTGAATCTTATAGTTCTCGCGAAACAGAAAATAAACGGAAATTAAAATCAAAAAAATCTAAAACTTCGAAAATTTTTAATATACATACATTGTCGGATAACATAAAAGAACGTATTTCGAGAATTTGGAATTCGTTGCGTACAGAACATTTAAATGAAGAGGGTAAAAATCACCTCGAGAAACACATAATTAAAAACCACGACTTATATTATTTAGATGGAGATAAGATGGGTTGTACAGACGTATTAGAACATAAAATCGATACTGTAGATGGCATACCTATTAACGTGAGACAGTATCGTTATCCTCCTATGTTAAAAGACAAAATCGAAGAGCAAACGCAAGACTTATTGCGGGACGGTATCGTTGTACATTCTAAATCACCATATAACACGCCTGTATGGATAGTCCCCAAGAAGGATAATTCTCAGGGACAAAAGCAGTGGCGTATGGTTCTGGATTATAGAATGTTAAACGAAAAGACAATTACCGACGCACATCCATTACCTTTAATTACTGACATATTAGATCAATTAGGAGGGGCGATATATTTTACGACATTAGATCTTAAGTCAGGTTATCATCAAATTAAAGTAAGTCCGAAGGACAGACATAAAACCGCTTTCTCCACCCCCTTAGGTCATTATGAATTTGTGCGAATGCCTTTCGGATTAAAAAATGCTCTTGCAACATTTCAACGTTTGATGAATATTATATTATTAGGGTTACAGAGAATTGAAATCCTAGTATATCTCGACGATATAATTATTTTTGCGAAATCACTTGAAGAACATGAAGTTAAACTCGAACGAGTCGCGCGATGACTCCGCGAAGCCGGACTTAAGTTACAGCCAGATAAATGCGAATTCTTGCGAACAGAAATCACGTATCTAGGTCATATTATTTCCGCTGATGGCATAAGGCCTGATCCGAAAAAAATCGAAGCAGTGAAAAATTTTCCGAGCCCTCAAAATATGAAAAATATTCGACAATTTCTAGGATTATTAGGTTATTATCGTAGATTTATTCATAAATTTTCTCAAATTGCTAAACCTTTAACAAATTTATTGAAAAAGACGATAGTTTTTGAATGGGGTCCAGAGCAACAAAATGCATTTGAAATATTACGTAATAAATTATGTGAAGAACCTGTATTACAATATCCCGATATGTCACAACCGTTTATTGTAACGACAGACGCGTCAGGAGTCGCAATAGCAGGAATATTAAGTCAAGATCCTTTAGGAAAAGATAGACCAGTAGCGTATACGTCGCGTGTTTTAAACGATAATGAAAAGAAATATAGTACGTATGAAAAAGAAGCTTTAGCTATTTTACATTCAGTGTCACAATTTCGCCCATATCTATATGGACGACCGTTTAAACTAGTGACCGATCACAAACCATTAGTATGGATGTGTAACGCGAAAGACCCTACCTCTAGACTCACGCGATGGCGTTTAAAGTTAGAAGAATATCAATTCGAAGTAATTTATAAAGCCGGTAAAACAAATGTGAATGCTGACGCATTATCTCGTAATCTCCCTAATATGCCGGACAATGAAGAAACAGAAATAGCGAACAACGAAAATTATATTTTTCCGGTTACACGAGCTCAAGTTGCAAAATTTCGTCAAGAAATAACTGAACAAGAAGCAGAAGAAAAACAATCCAAACAACAGAAGAAGCAGGAGAAGAAGAGTAGTCAAAAGAAGAAGGAAGAGCCAGCAGATAAGAAATTACAAGGTTCACCTATAGCTCAACGTTTAAGAAGCAAGGTCAAAGCAGACGACACAGCTCTCCCCAGTACATCTAAAGGAGTGATGCGAAGAGTCTTCGATAAATTACCATCTTTCAAAAGAAAACAATTCAGTAAAATAAAGGAGTCATCGTCGTCAAGATCAGAAAGCAATATAGAGTCAAGTAGTGAATCATCGGCATCTGAAAGATCGGGTATCAGGAAAACACCCAAGAAGACACAACTATATACTCCAGCAACAACGCCTCGTTTACAACGACGACAGCGTGAAGAACGTTTAACAGACTTAGAAATCTCAAGTAAATCCATGAGTATGTTTTCTGATGATTCTGATAGCGAAACAATTGGAGGACGAGTACGAGTACCACCATTTTCGGACAGACGCGTAAATGAAAGTGATGATGAACCACATAGCGAAGTTGAAGAAAATGAAGACCAAGAAGATGTGAAGGCTAGTAGATCAGGACGAGCTAGAAAAATTATCGAAACTAGAGATCAAATATTTATGCAGAAAAATAATTACTTGTATTTTATAGATGAGTATGGTCAACCCGTTGATAGTGGAGCGACGAAATTAGAAGAAAGATCATTACTGCCTAAATTTAAGAATTTACAAGCAGGTAGTGTAGCTATAACGAAAATAGGTAGTAGGCATCATATAGCTATAGTAGTTAATAAAGGGGAATCCTTAAGTTGGGTTGTCAGGACATTGACACGCACCTTGACCAGACTTAACTTACGGACAATATCAATAGCTAAGTCTAGTAGTGTAAACGGTATATCCTGGACTCGTATATCAACAATGTTAGGGGAATGTTTTTCTAAAATCAATACTACACTGGTAGTATGTCTAGGAATAGTAACTTACGTGCCGAAGGAACAACGTAAGCAGGTAATAGAAGAAGCTCATTCATCAGCTATAGGCGGTCATAAAGGGGTGACAAAAACGTATAACCGCATACGTTTACGTTATTTTTGGGAAGATATGAAAATAGATATACAAAAATTCATACAACGTTGTTTATCGTGTCAATTGTTTAAATTAAAACGTATTAAAACTAAACAACCGATGCAGATTACAGATACTCCTAAAGCTGCGTTTGATAAAATCGCGATGGATATCGTAGGACCACTAACGCGGACAAGAAACGGATATACTCATATTTTAACTGTACAAGATTTATTAACTAAATTAGTTATCGCGATTCCTTTAAGACGAACTACTTCTGAAGATATTGCTCGTGCGTTAGTAAAGCGAGTTATTTGCGTCTACGGTACACCTAAATCGGTGTTAACAGATCAGGGATCTAATTTTGTTAGCGAATTAATGAAAAATTTCGCGAAGATATTTAAAATAAAACAATATCGAACAACCGCTTTTCATCCTCAGTCTAATGGATCTATCGAAAGATCGCATCATTCTCTCGTTGAATATTTAAAACAATTTTCCAATGAAGAAGAACATTGGGACGAATGGTTAAAATTAGCCACATTTTCGTATAACACGCTAGCGTTCATGAAGGAACTAAATATCAACCTTTTCAATTAGTATTTGGTAGGCCAGCGCGGTTACCAGCTAGCGTTTGTAATAATGAAGACGAATTACGTACATATGAAGATTATTTAATTGAATTAACTACTAAAATTTATGAAATTCAAGAAATCGCGAGAAATAATTTAATTATAGCTAAAGAAAAATCAAAACAGCGTTATGATAAAACGGCGCACCCAGTTAACTTTCAAGTAGGAGATTTCGTTTTCTTAGTAAGCGGCAAGAAAAAAGGTAAATTAAGTAATCCGTATGAAGAACCGTACGAGGTCACTGAAATAATGCCCGACGGTAATGTAAGAATTCAGTATAATCAAAAACCTAAAGTAATACATCCAAACCGGTTGGTTCAGTCCAAAATTAATCCTAACGAGGATACCGATAGTGATTAGAATTTGTTTATTTTACAGAATGATGAGGAAACTATTTCCGGGGATTACCTTTATCGGGTGCATCTTTTTAATCTATCTGAAAGGTATAATAGGGAATATGGTTAAGTATGCACCATTTGCTCACAAAACCGGCATTTATTTCGAATATTTGGAAGATGTCCGATTCACCAAAAATAATTGGAAATTAGTAACACTATTCAATTTAACTGATCTTGAATTTAAAAGACCGACAATTTCCGATTTACAAATAGACTTTGTTGATTTGCAATGTCAAGTGTATATCAACACATCAATTTGTCGTCAGTATATCGAGTTAAACCTTTATAATCATTTTATTCAGCAAATAGACTTAAAATTAACCGAGTTAAATCACTTAATGTATGCCGATAGTAATCAGAAAACACCTATAAATTCTGAAAAGGAAGTCGTGTTTCGTAGGTATATTATTGATTTAAGTGGGATTTTTCCAACCATATATGATATACATACTCATATTTATAGACATAGTCAAATCATTGATGCCGAATTATTCTTCGAACAAGCTCGCTTATTTAAATCCCAGGATAGATATAACAAATTAGTAAAGAATATGACTAAGTTTTTAAATCGAACCAATCCATCAGCTGTAATATATTTTAATCACTTGAATGAATGGAGCATCCATATAAGAGAATACTTTTCGCAGTATCTTGATCATGTCAATAATGTAATAGAAACCGTAATTTATGCTATGTCAGGGAAATTGAGTCCTCGAGTTCTTAGTCCTCAAATACTTTCACAAGCCCTTAAAGAATTCCGAATGAATTGCACCAGTTGTAATCTTATAATTGATCCAGATGATATTTATTTAGGAAAAATTGAAGTAAAATTTGACCTTTTTCAGAATTTCTTGTTCTTCACCATAAAAGCTCCTTTTTTGGACACTATTGAATTTAGCTTATTAAAAGCTCATCCGTATCCGGTACCACAAAAATGTGGAGATAAAACGATGTCCACTTACGTACAACCTAGTTCTGATTATCTATTAATATCTCCTAATAACCAGTATTCCCCTATAACTAAAGATGAATTAAAAAGTTGTTATAAGTTCAAAGATTTTCTAGTATGCAGACCAAATTTCATTTTTCTTGACAATACTACTAATCCCATTTGTGAAATAGATTTGTTAACCACTCGTTTACAATCCTTTCCCTCTCAATGTGACATTAGAGTAAACCAAAACTTCAAACCTTATTGGAAGCCATTGGCAAAAGCATCCGGATGGCTATATTCCGTTTTAAATCTTGAATTGCAAGAAACCATTCATGATAAAATAATAGGTAAAATTAAGATTTCCGATTCAGGGATCCTCACTTTAACCGATTCTTCTCACTCGTTAATAGCTAATGATATTAGGTTAATGGGATTTTCTAGTAACTCCGAAGTCTATACGACACAACCAACTTATGAGTTAGATTTAATTCAGATTCTACCTAACATCTGCAAAAAAGAATTTAAACCGATTAATAATATTCCTTATGTTCCTAATCAATTATCATACGATTTTACTCTAAATGAGGTCGCAGGCCAAAATCAAAATGTGCCTGTTCATAATTATTCAAACCACAGTACACTATATCTCATTTTTGGTGTGTTTTTAATTATCTTTATTACTATTGCTTATATTTTGTGCTTTAACTCCAAGAAAACAACTGAAAGTACTCTAATCGACTCATCCAACCAAACCGAAGTCACTTTGATAGAACCTGACGCACACATCTATGATGTTCCATCTAGCAGTGTATCATTAGTCACGCCTCCAAATAACCTTAAGGACGAATCTAAGTCTATCTATATAGAAATGCGTAATATTCGAAAAACCCTAACTTTCAAAAACGCACCCGAGAAAATTTAATTTCTAAAACCTTCCCTGATTCTCTAAACAGATTTAAACCAATAAGATATATCTACGATTATGGATAATCATTTAAACAGAAAGTCCAAAATAATACATCCAAATCGGTTGGTTCAGTCCTAATGAGAACACCGATGGTGATTAGGCCTTGTTTGTTTTTTTTAGCATAATGAAGAAACTATTTCTGGGAATTATCTTTATCGGATCCATTTCAATAATCCATATGAAGGAAATAATAGGGAACCCGGTTGAGTATACACCGTTAGTTGCAGGAACGGGTATTTATTATGAGAACTTAGTAGATATTTATTTTACAAAGAAGAATTGGAAGTTAGTCGTATTCCTAAATCTAACTAGAATAGATGAACAAATGCCAACAGAAACAAATTTTAAAACATGGGCACAATGCACAAGTATACTTTCAAATAATTCAAACTGTTTACATTACGTTAACACTGGCTATATTAATTATATGACTCAACAATTTAAAGAAAAACAATTAGAGATACAGAATTTATTAAAGCCTCGCGGACAAGTAGCGACGAAAAATATGGATGAAGAAATGTTGTGTAAGAAATATATTAGAACAATAGATCACCTTGGATCAGATTACTTTTTGAATCATACGTATATTTCCCGTATAGGACAGTTAATTAGTTCCGACATTACAAACAAACAGCTCTGCCAAGACGAAAACCGAGAAAAGTATTTCAAAATCATTGATCGAATTAATAAAAGAATTTCAGAAAAAAATATGTCCCAATATGAATATATCGGTGAATTAAAAGAACAGAGCATTTCCCTACGATTAGTATTAGAACAACATCTCGCTTTACAAAAATCTATAATAGACGGAATTAATCATTCTTTAATGCGGAAACTAAGTCCTAGAATAATCGGGCCAAGTAGAATCCTTCACGCGGTAAACGAATTACATAATAACCAACCTAAAATCAAGTTATCAATAAGACCCAATGAAATATATTCCGAAGAACATTTAGAATTAGCAAAAACTAGTTACAATTATTATAATGATTTTGTGTTCTTTATTATGGAAATGCCCATCTTAGAATCGAAAAAATTTCGCTTATTAAAATTACATCCCTACCCGGTCCCACAATACTGTACGGGAAGAATTTTATCAGCACAAATTAAAATTAACTTTGACTCTCTGATCATGTCAATCACTAAGAAGTGGTTCGCGCCAGTTGACTCTCATAAATTAACTCAATGTATAAAATTAAGAGAAAATTGGATATGTAAACCTACTTTCACAGTTTATGAAAATACACCCCCTTACATTTGTGAGGTAGAGTTGCTAACTAGTACGAATCCGGAAAGTTATTCTCGGTGCGAAATTAGGGTAGCCCCTACGTATAACCCAGTTTGGAGCCCGCTAAAGGAAACAAACGCTTGGTTGTACTCTTTTCCAAATGTGACTTCACTACAAATAATGCATTCGGACAAAGTTGCAGGAAACGAACAAATTGTCGGAATCGGAATATTAACCTTATTGGACACAGAATATTCAATACGACTTAATAATCTCCACTTAATAGGGTTCGAAAGAACAGAGGCGAGGATCGAAGGAATACTTAGTCCTACGGTAGGGCTCGATCTCATTCAACTTCAGAAAAATTTTTGTGACTTCCAGTTCACAAATACAACTTTAGGTTTACTGCACCCAGTTACGTTGCAGGAAATTAGAGTAAAGTTGACAGAAATCAATACTCCGTCAGGATTAAGAATAACAATATATGTAATTTTTGTAGCATTTATTTTGATTTGCGTCTTATTAATCGTTATAATTAAGAATAAAAGGAAAAATGCGATTATTATAAAAAACCCGAGTGACACAAAAATTGTTAACACCACTGTCGAACTAACAGATGAGTACATACATAGAATGCCCGCCCCGATGGCGAAGATCGGAGATCCGACTAATCGTATACGCGTGAGGACTTTACCTCCTCTCCCTTTCACAATGAATCCAATACCGGAAGATATTTAAATAAAATTGATATGTTAGCCCGAATAATAGAAAAACAATTTTCCTTTTATTTTACTTTCTCTCGGGAAAACACATAATCATTTAACTACTTTTTACAGTGTCCAAATAATCATTATGAGAGCCAAACGAACCCCTCGACACATAGTACATTGGGTCGGCAAAAAGCGGGGGCAACAAAGCCTGAGTCATAAACGAAACAAAGTAACTCCTGGGTATGTGAGTACAACGCTAAATTTCGACCGCCGCAACGGATTACTACGTTATTCCGAAATATTACCTGTTCCAAAAATTTTAGGATCTATTAAGATTGGTACAAGGCAGTATACAAAAAAATTTGAGCAAAAAATTTATTGTCGACCGTCATTTTTGACGATTTTCAAAAATTCAAAATTTGACAAATTTGGCATTTTTCAAAATTTTTTGCCAAAATATTTTTTTTCAATAGCTCCAAGTGTCCCCTTTCAAACAAACGAAAGATCATTCCTGTATCTATCCTAGCGTTCGAGATATTACAAAAACAAAATTTAAAAACTGGAAAAAACGCGAAATTTTGAGTTTGCATATCCTTTGAAAAAAATTTTTTTATTTTTTTTCCTTTGGTAGAACTTCGTTATATGATAAAAGAAAACTTCTGACCAAAATTCGTTCAAATCGAAAGGGGTCGATTCCAACTATTGGCCGATTTGACATGGAATGACCCACCTACATTATTTAATTATTTTATAAATATTATATTAGACCTAGAAAGAGATCGGGACAGCGAGCTGGTGTATTTATACCCCAGAACGGGCGAAACTAGTAAAGCGTTCGGTAGTCTTTTGAACATAGGGCAATATTTCCTAAAATTCGCAACGGTAAAAATTGATGCATTCCAGTTACAAGAATATGCAAACATGATAGTAATCGACGGCCAATTCGAAGAAACAAAATATTTAGTCGAAAATTTCTTAACATTAAATACTACGACCTTACTAAGTATAGCAATACTCTTTCAACAAGAACCAATAATATATTACTTACTTAATAGAAATACACCGGTAAACAATACGATATTAGATGCTAATGACTATACACCACCATTATACAGTGCTATTTTGGTGCAACGAATGAATTTAGTTAAAAGATTGATTAAAGAAGGGGCAAAGATAAGTAAATTAACTATTTATTTTCGTTTATTATTTCGGGAATTTATAACTTCTAAAAATAATAAGGTACAAAGATACCGGCGGAAATATATATTAAAATTGATTTCTAATATGGAAGGTTACTTACCCGCAAATATTTTAATAGGTATAGATATTCCATTCAGAGTAAACGCATTGTTAATGGTATTGTTAGGAGTTGATGTAAACTCTAAAAATAAATCAGGAGAAACTCTTTTACAAATAGCCATTAAATATGAAAATTTAGAGTTAACTAAAGTTTTGTTAGATGAAGGGGTAAGCGTACATGAAAAAGATAGTGAGGGGCGAACTGCATTACACGAGTTAATGCAAAGGGAAGACGAAACTTCGATAAATAATGATCTGAAGATTTTAGAATTATTATTAAATAAAGATATTGATCTTAACGCGAGAACATATAAACATCAAATAACCGCGTTGCAATTAGCTGCACAAAGAGGGTTATGTTTAATGGTACAATTATTACTCCAAGAAGGAGCTGATATAAATGCTGTAACCACTACCGGTTTAACAGCAGTACAAATAGCTTTTGAAACTCAAAAAATAGATTTAGGACTACCTGGGTGTCAACCCAGGAAAGACAAACCAGAGACAGTAACGTGGACACAGGACACCTTGTTAGGACATTTGTGCATGCTAAAAGTTGCAGGAAACCATTTACATCCTATTAATGAACAAATATTAAAAAATAGTAAACGCTCGATAATAGCAGTAACAACGTCAGTGTATACTGCCCAAATAGCATTGTTCCGAAAGCGAAATTTCGGTCCTCCTAATACAAATGTTACTTTTTAAGACGTAGTAGCTAACCCAGCGGAATTAATTAGGAAAAATGAGGGGTTGGCTAGAAACATCATTAGAAGTTTTAGAGAATACCATTGTGGAGCGCTTTTTAAACACGCGGTAAACCGATTACAGCAAATAAAAAGAAATAAAGGTGCTCAGAAATTAGAAAGGCCCCGACGGTTTCTAGCAAAAATATTTAATGGGCGTTTAGACCCCTGGAGTCAGCACGTGATATTAGAATTTTTAAATTATCGCGATTTAATCAGATTAGATTTAGCTTTACAACAGCAGCAAAAGAAATAACTTGTAAAATAATTATGTACTTATTATATTTATACTCTTCTTTTTCTTCTATTGTTAAAATCTATTTGCATAATTACAATCTTTGTAAAAAGTAAATCCTCTATCAACTATTCAAGACTTAGTAGACTCCAACGCAAAAGGAATTTTCTTTTTGAGACTGCAACAAAACTGTAGTCCTAACCCTTTACTTCCACTGAATCTCAGTCAGTTACCTATGCTATTGTGGGGAAATTTTTAGGAAACTCGTATTAGCAAATACTCAATATTTTTACAGAATAACGCAACCACCTTTTAATAAACTCATAGAGAATCCGCCATTCAGGAAGAAGAATAAGATGAATCCACGCGAAAATCGTTATGACCCAGAGAGGCCATTCGGAATTGATAACCAGTTTATCACGCTTATTATTGCAATAATTAGGGAAGGATATTTTAATCATTCAAAGTGTAAATTTTGGGGTCCTCCTATCACGACCTCACCATTAGAATTCAAAGCCGCGATGGTAGTATTATCGGATACAGAAACTTGGGAAGCAGCTAAGAGACATTGTCGATATGTTATTCACTATCAACGTTATTATAGAAAATTGTTCGATAGTGAGATGAGAGACCCGTTCATACTTAATAAAAATTTACTGCCAAGGCTTTTCGGGGAAAAACCCTGGGCGGTTACAACTCCATATGACCTCCATCTAAATTACACTGCTCAACAGAGT